TTTTTTGAGATGGAGTCTCACTCTGTCACCAGGCGGAGTGCAGTGGTGCAATCTCGGCTCACTACAGCCTCCGACTCTTGGGTTCAAATGATTCTCCTGCCTTAGCCTCCCGAGTAGCTGGGACTACAGGCACATGACACCAAAGTGCTGGGATTACAGGCGTGAGCCACAGTGTCCAGCTTTCCTCCAATTTTTTGAATTCAAGCCAGGCATGTTTTATAATCGCCTCTAGCCTTCTAGTTTATTTGCTCACATATCCTTACTTCTTTCTTTTTTTTTTTTTCCTTTTTGAGACAGGGTCTCACTCTGTTGCCCAGGCTGGAGTGCTGTGGTATGATCATGGCTCACTGTAGCTTTCACCTCCCAGGCTTAAGCAATCCTCCCACCTCAGCCTCTCAAGTGAGTAGCTAGGAATATAGGTGCAGGCCACCATGTCTGGCTTACATTTTGTTGTATTTTTTTTTGTAGAGATGAGGCTTTGCCATCTTGCCCAGGCTGGTCTTCAACTCCTTAGCTCAATTGATCCACCTCTGTCAGCCTCCCAAAGTGTTGGGATTATAGGCGTGAGCCACCACGCCCATCCTCATGTATCCTCACTTCTTTCATCTCATGGGGACCTCTAAACCATTGACGCTACCAGTTTTTCACCATCCATCCACTCCTTTGTGTTTGCTCCCCATCTTGCCCAATTTATATCTTTTTTTTTTTTTAAATCCTTTCATACTAAGTTTTATTGTATGCTGCTGCCAGTGTATATAAATTACCCTTGTGAAATAGAAATTCATGAAAATTCAGAGAGGTAGATGTTAAGGACTGACAGAAGTAGAAGTTTGTATATTATGTATGGCACAAGTGTTACAGGGATAAGCTTTTGTACAGGCTTCAAATGGAGCTCTCTTGAATATTCACTGGATCATAAGAAGTGGTTTGGGAAACCTTTTAAAGATTCATTTTACTACAAAAAGGAACAGACTTTCTGGGGTCTGAAGGGATTTGTACTTGAAGATACTCCAGTCAGCAGAGGATCATGTTGAGCATTCTGCAGACAGAATTGTTTCAAGTCTGCAGCTGCCTGGGAAACTTTTACGCGGTTGAGCCCGGCCTCCAGCCGGAGCTGTTGAACCACTTTCTTCATAGCGGCGACGCTGGAGGAGCCAGACATGGTGTACTGGAGGGCCGGGCCGATTCGTGGGTCGGTAGGTGGTGGGCCGTGGGTCGACAGGGCCAATTTATATCTATGATCTAACACATAATCACTCTCATGAAAATATTATAAACTTCCTTCTTCCTCTTTTTAGTAACCCCCCAACCCCAATTAATTTCAATTATTCATCTACTTGGATCCTTTTATCCAACTAGTTACTTCAAGGCTATTAGAGGAAAAAAAATCCATGATGATGCTCACCAATCACATTTTACAGGGACCCATTTTATTCCTCTCCTCCCTGGGACATTTGGCAATGTGTGGAGACATTTTTTTCACACTTAGGTGTAGGGGAGGGTGCATCTAATAGACAGAAGTCAGGGATGCTCCTAAATATTCTAAAATGCACAGGACAACAGAGAATTATCTGGCCCAAAATGGCAATAGAGATAGCAGTGGGAAAAATGTCAAATGTCAGTAGTTTCAAGATTGAGAAATTCTGCTTTAAATTAATTACTACAAGTCTCAAAGGGGCAATCAACACAAGGCCTTCGGACTTGCTGTTCTTTCTGCCTATAATATGCTTCCCTCATGGCTTCTTCTTATTATTATTTGTTTGAGATAGAGTTTCACTCTTGTCACCCTGGCAGGAGTACAATGGCAAGATCTCGGCTCCCTGCAACCTCCGCCTCCCAGGTTCAAGCAATTCTCTACTCTTCAGCCTCTGGAGTAGCTGGGATTATAGGCATGCACCACCACACCCGGCTAATCTTTAAAATACTTTTAGTAGAGATGGGGTTTCACCATGTTGGCCAGGCTGGTCTTAAAGTCCTGACCTCAGGTGATCCACCCACCTCAGCCTCCCAAGTGCTGGGATTACAGGCATGAGCCACCACACCCGGCCTCTGGATTATTATTTAACAATCATTTCCTCAAAAAGTTCTCTCTGACCTCATCCTAGCATAGACTCACCCTCATCACATTACACTGTTTTATTGCCTTCAAAATATGCACCATTTAATCTCTTTATTGTCTGCTTCCTTCTAGAAAATAAGTTACATGAGTTCAGTCTCCTTATCCGTTTCGTTCCCTGCTGTATCTCCAGGGTCAACTATAGTGCCTGGTCCTTTTTTTTTTTTCTTTTCTTTCTTTTTTTTTTTTTTTTTTTTAAGAGACAGGATCTCCCTATGTTGCCCAGGCTGGGGTGCAGTGGCAGGATCATAGCTCACTGCTGCCTTGAACTTCCGGGCTTAAGTGATCTCACCTCAGCTTCCTGAGTAGCTAGGACTAGAGACATGACCACTGTGCCTGGCCATGTTTGGCACATTATAGACACTTAGGAAATATTTGTTGAGGGCCGGGCAGGGTGGCTTTCACCTGTAATCCCAGAACTTTGGGAGGCCGAGGTAAGCAGATCACTTGAGGTCAGGAGTTCAAGACCAGCGTGGCCAGCATGGTGAAATCCCATCTCTACTAAAAATATTTTTAAAAATTAGGCGGGTGTGGTGGCAAGCACATGTAATCTCAGCTACTTGGGAGGCTGAGGCATGAGAATCGCTTGAACCTGAGAAGCAGAGGTTGTGGTGAGCCGAGATCACACTACTGCACTCCAGCCTGGGCAACAGAGCTAGATTTCATCTCAAAAAAAATTGTTGAAAAGTGAATGAAAATATTGTTTATTTGCAATTTATTCATTCATTAATTCCTGAAACATTTATTGGTGATAAAATCCAGACACATCTCTATCCTCTTGGAATATACAGTACAGCGGATATTGACATTGAATACATAAGCACATAAAGTAAATACAGTATTTTCAAACTTCGATAAGAGCTTTGAAAGAAAAGTACTGGTAGCCATGAGAGAATGAGTCTGGGATTGGGTGGTCAGGCCAGACTTTCTAAAAGAAGTGATATTTGAGAACAGCTAAAGGATGAGTTGGTTAGCTGGATAGAGGAAGGCGGGTGGGAGTGAATGGAGAAGAGCTTCCAGAAGCAGAGGACAGACTGTGCAAAGGAACTCCAGTGAGTAGGAACAGAGGGAAGGCCAGTGTGGCTGAGGCAGTCAGGTCAGCCATGGTGTGGCACTTATTGGCAAGAACACGAGTGTTACCGAAAGATTTTAAACAGAAAATGACAAAACTCTGAGTGGATTAAGAGGTCACTCCAGAGAATAGAGTTTAGAGAGCCAGTGTGAAAGTAGGGACACTGGTTTGGAAGCAGTTGCTGTGTCCAGACATGGCCTGGTGTGGGGTGGCAGCAGTGAGTTTGGAGAGAAGCTGGATATAGTTAAGTGATGACAAACATTTTCCTTTAGAGATCAAAGGAAAATTTTCAAGAAAATCTCAGCTGGTCGGAAGGTAGTGAATTATTTCAACTACCAGTTGAAATAATTCACTACCTTCCGACCAGCTGAGATTTGATCAGTAATTTGATCTTTTTTTTTTGAGACAGAGCTTCGCTCTTGTTGCCCAGGTTGGAGTGCAGTGGTGTGATCTCAGCTCACTGCAGCCTCTGCCTCTCGGGTTCAAGCGATTCTCCTGCCTCAGTCTCCCGAGTAGCTGGGATTACAGGCATATGCCAACACGCCCAGCTAATTTTGTATTTTTAGTAGAGACAGGGGTTTCTCCTTGTTGGTCAGGCTGGTCTTGAACCTCAGGTGATCCACCCCCGCCTCAGACTCCCAAAGTGCTGGGATTACAGGCATGAGCCACCGTGCCCAGGCAGGAACTTCTTATTCTACCTTCACCCCCTTCTCACTACTGTGCCTGACTAGTCTCTTAAAATAATTTTTAAAAGGCTAGGTGTAGTGGCTCAAACCTGTAATCCCAGCACTTTGGGAGGCCGAGTCGGGTGGATCACCTTAAGTCAGGAGTTTGAAACCAGCCTGGCCAACATGGTGAAACCCCATCTCTACTAAAAATACCAAAATTAGCTGGGCGTGGTGGTGGGTGCCGTAATCCCAGCTACTCGCGAGGCTGCAGCAGGAGAATCCCTTAAACCTAGGAGGTGGAGGTTGCGGTGAGCCATGATCGTGCCATCGCACTCCAGCATGGGTGACAAGAGTGAAACTGTCTCAAAAAGAAAAAAAAAAGAGTTCATGAAAGTCTTACTTTATACAAAAGCAGGTCAGTTAGTGTAGCATAAGGAGCCCTTTAATATGTTTAGCAATTAAACGAAGGAAAGACAAAGAAATGTTTGAGACGGCAGAACCAAGATTAAAAAAATGTGAGAGAGTCGAGGTAAAAAATGGAGAGTGGAAAATGAACCGTGAGAGAGCCAGAATAAGCAGGGAATGTGAGTCTGAGAAGTGTGAGGAGGTTGGAGGGTAGGATGATTGGGAGGAAATTGGGCAGAGTGGGTGGAGAAAGTGCAGTGTGCACCTAAGAAGAGGAAAGAAAGATTAATTTCTGATGCTGGACTCCAAGGAGACTGGAGACAAGGCGCAAAGGCAAACGAAAAGACAAGGAGTGGGCTGGGCGCGGTGGCTGACGCCTGGAATCCTGCACTTTAGGAGGAGGGAGCGGCGGATTGCTTGAGCTCAGGAGCTGGCGACCAGCCTGAGCAACATGGTGAAACCCCTTCTTACCAAAAGTCCGAAAACGTTAGCCGGGCGTGGTGGTGCGCACCTGTGGTCCCAGCTCCTGCGGAGGCTGAGGCGGCGTGATCGCTTGAGCCGCGAGGTGGAGGCTGCAGTGAGCCGAGATAGCATCCCTGCACTCCAGCCGGGGTGACACACTGGGACCCCCCTCTCCAACGAACAACAAAAAGGACAAGGACTGAAATAGGAAGACCCAATACAGGAAAGGCAGGAAGGGGAGATGACCAAAGATGACAGGGGAAGGAGCAGAGCATGAAAGGGGTGCCAGGAGGAAGGAGGGAGCCACGTTAGAGAGGACAGAACAGTGAGGGCGTGAAAGAGTGCACCGCAATGGGCAGTCCGCGCCCGGGCCCAGTAGAGAAAGAGAAACGGACGAGTGGCTGGGGGAGGGGTGGGAAAGGTGGAGGGTAGGTCTGAAAAGACTCCAAGGGAGAGGAAGGATGGGTGTGGCCAAGACTCTGACCTAGACCTCACCCTGCTCCCCACCCTCCGCCGCTACGGTCCCAGTGGTTTCTTCCTCCTGTTAGGAGCCTTGACGCCGGAGGGGATAGTGGTAGGTGGGGAGGTTGAGTACAGAGGGTTCAGGCTGGGAGTCATGTCGGGTTGGAATGGGGGCTGCTGGGGAGCCACGCTCAAAAGCCGGGTCTCTGTAGGGGGACAGAGTCAGAGAACCGGGACAGTGAAGGCGGTGCTGAAGGGAGGGACTCTCAGGGATCGAGACAGGGCCCCCGCAGGTGGGATCGACCAGGGAGACAGAAAAGGAGAGCAGCGGGTGGAGGCGAAAGCAGGGCCGAGCAGAGAGTACTTTGCACAAAACCCGGACGCGGGGCACCCCGCAGCGTCCCAGACGCACCTGTTGGGAAGAAAGGAAGGGGCATCCCGGTGCTCGAGGGAAATCCAGTCCTGAGGGGCTGACTCTGACTCTTGGGATTCGGAGCCACCACCTCCTCCCTAGCTGCGGCCAAAACCTGGCAAGTGAGGGGGCGTGACCCTGGTGCTCAGGTTTCTCCCTCCTCACCTGGGCAAGGAGGGGTGGGGGCCGCGACTTCCGGTTCAGGTGAGTATCCCTTCGGTGACGTCAGGTCACCCTTGGCCACCCCTCCGGTCTCGCCTCCCCCTGCCGCGCCCCCGACGCCCTACATATACTCAGGTACGCCCCACCTGTCCGCCTGCACCTGCCGGCTCACCTCCGAGCCGCCTCTGCCGCGCAGCGCAGCCTCGGCGGACAGCTCAGGAAACTTTGGGACTTGCCGGAGCCCAGAACCGCGCCCAGACAGCCCCACCACCTTTTGTTTGGCTAGGGTCGCTGAGAGCGCCGGAGGGAACCGCCTGGACTTCGGGGACCGCTTTTGTCTGGAACCACCTCCCGGCGTAGCCTGTTCCCTCTGCCGCGAGGCCATCGCGTCACTGGAAGGGTTGATTTGTGTGTCTTCGGTGACAAGATTTACATTCACCTGGCCCAAACTCTTTTTGTCTT